AGAAGGTGACAGAGATAGGGAGGGGGTGTGGGGTGGGGTGGAGAGGGTGACAGAGATAGGGGTGGGTGGTGTGGCGAGGGTGATAGGGAGAGGGTGTGGGGGGGTGGAGGCGGTGATAGGGATAAGGAGGGGGTGTGGAGGAGGTGGGAGGGGTAGGGAGGGGGGGGGGGGGGGGGGGGGGGAGGGGGATAGGGGGGGGGTGTAGGTGGGGTGGAGGGGGGTAGAGGTGCAGGAAGACCGCTTACCCTCCATGCCCTGACCCATGCCCTCTGTGCTGTTTGCTCCCTCGGTGCCCCCAGACAGCATCAACAAGAGGCAGGTGGCAGTGAAGTCGACCCGGGGCTTTGCACTGAAATCCACCCACGGCATCGCCGTCAAGGCCAGCAACATGGAGAAGGGCGAAGGCGGGAGCGGGCACAGGAGCACCAGGCAGTTCTACGATGGTGAGGAGTCCTGCTACATCATTGATGCCAAGCTGGAGGGCAACCTGGGCCGCTATCTCAATGTAAGTGAGGCTTGGGGGGGGGGCGGGGTGGGGGCGGGAAGAAGGGTCTGCTACGTATCAATGAGCTAAAACCACCTTCCACCAGCTGGCACTCTGAGGGACATGCCCGTTTACCAACCCACCAGCGCACTCCTGCCCTCTCATTACCCCTCGGTTTTGGTATTCTTGCAAAGAGTCCTGATGCAGACTTTGTTACAGTTTTGCATTTTCACCTCTAGACCAAGCGAAAGGGGAGGGATGGTCGTTACCTTGTGTTTGAGCTCCCCCGGCCCAGAGTACAGTTTCGAGAAAGGGTGGACTGGCACTGGAGGGGCTGCAGAGTTGGTTCACTGGGTTGGTTCCTGGAGTCGAGAGGGTTGGCTGATGAGGAGAGATTGGAGTCAACCAGGACTGTACTCATTGGAGTTTTGAGGAATGTGAGGGGATCTTCTAGAAACGTATGAAATTACGAAGGGAATATTTAAGATGGAGAAGCAGGGAGGGTGTTCCCACTGGTGGGTGAGACTAGAACGAGGGGGCACAGCCTCAAAATAACGGGGGAGCGGATTTAGGACTGAGTTGAGGAGGATCGGATCATCTTCACCCAAAGGGTTGTGAATGTGTGGAATTCCCTGCCCACTGAGACTGTGGTTGAGTGTTTTTAATGCAATGGTGAAGAATAAAGGAATTAAGGGTTACAGTGAGCGAGCAGCTAAATGGAGCTGAATCCTGGAAAAAGACCAGCCGTGATTTTACTGAATGCTGGGGCAGGTCAGATGGCCCACTCCTGCTACTTTTTCTTGTGGTGGGGGCCCCTTCGTAGGCCCCGGGTACTGGAATCCTGACAACCACCACCAGCATTCCCCCCCACCCCACAAATCCCAACCCGGTCCTCCTCAGGACGCCGGTTGAAATTGAACCTGGCCTAACCGAGAGGAGTGGTCTACAACAGTGAGGTTAGTTGGATTTATTTGGAAAGGTTACAAGACCCACCAGAGAGAGAGAGGGAGAATATGGGCCCGAATGGGGCAATGCGGGGAGTGGCTGGGGGGGTGTACGTCCCTGTGGGAGGGGGAGTGTGGGGCGGAGGAGTACAGTCAGAGCCTGCCTGTCTCGCACTCGGTCTGATTAAACACTGTTTCTGACCCCCCCCCACAGCACAGCTGTAGCCCGAACCTGTTTGTACAGAACGTCTTCGTGGACACACACGACCTGCGCTTCCCCTGGGTGGCCTTCTTCGCCAGCAAGTGAGTACACGTCTGCTCGCCCCCCCCCCCCCCCCCCCCCCCCCCCC